TGGGCCCGGATGGATCCGTCGTGGAATCGCCTAATATTTGTCCCCCCCCCCTCTCTTCCCTTTAAGCACAAAGCGCATGAATTTACTTCGCTGTAATCTGTACTTTTGTCCATCCTGAAGCTTCCCCGTTAACCTTATCATCATCATCCTGTACCATTTACTTATAACTAATGTATACACTTCTATGTCAAGCCAATATTTCAACATATATTGGCGCCTTTGAGCTCAGAAGCAGCGATGCTATGCTGTCGCTTCTGAGGAATCCACATTGATATGTATAGAACTCTTGGTAAGCATCGACTCATATACCGTGCCCGCATGTCAAATTATGTGAAGACCGGGCTAGTGAACCAAGCACTCCAGGTGTTCGACGAAATGACTCAGTCAGACTGTAGAGTTTTCAGCATTGATTACAACAGAATAATTGGCGTTTTGATTCGTAACTCGCGTTTTGATTTAGCAGAATGCTACTATCATGAAATGAAGCCTATGGGGTTTTCCTTGAATTCATTGACATATTCAAGATTCATTTGTGGTTTGTGTAAAGTTAAGAACTTTGATCTTATTCATAGGCTTCTTAATGACATGGATATGGTTGGTACAGTCCCTGATTTTTGGGCTTATAATACGTATTTGAATCTTTTGTGCAGTGAACATTTGGTTGATATTGCTTTGGAGTTGTTTAGAGTAATGGGAGCGAAAGGGAAAGAGCCTGATGTTGTGAGTTATACCATTCTTATTAGTGGGCTGTGTAGGATTGGACGCTTCGATAATGCTGTTGAAATGTGGCATGCAATGATTAGGAAAGGATTAATTCCAGACAATAAGGCTTGTAAAGCTCTTGTTTTCGGCTTGTGTGGGAGTGGTAAGGTTGATTTGGCTTATGAGCTGACTTTAGGTATTCTAAGGGGTCAAGTCAAATTCAACACGGAAATATACAATGTGCTGATACATGGGTTTTGTGGAGCTGGTAGGATTGACAAAGCACAAGCAATTAAAACGTTCATGAGGAGAAACAGGTGTGAACCAGATTTAGTTACTTATAATGTGTTCTTGAATTATTGTTGTAAGGAGCTTATGCTGGAAGAGGCGGAGAAGTTGATAGAGAAGATGGAAGGAAATGGGTTGGAACCTGATTGTTACAGCTATAACCAGCTTCTTAAAGGTTTCTGCAAAGCCAATAGATTGGATAAGGCATATAAGCTAATGACCCACAAGATGGAGGCCAATGGCTTGGTAGATGTTGTATCTTATAATACTATTATTAGAGCGCTCTGCAAGACAGACTGTAGTAAGAGGGCATACAATCTCTTCGAGGAGATGGAGCAAAAAGGAATTGTTCCTGATGTTGTAACTTTTACAATTCTTATAGAAGCTTCTCTAAAAGAAGGTAATTCCAGTGTAGCCAAGGCACTTTTTGATCAGATGATCAGCATGGGCCTTTTTCCAGATCGTGTACTCTACACTTCTATTATTGATAACCTATGCAAGACAGGTAAAATAGGGATGGCTCAGAGCATTTTCCATGATATGGTGGAACAGGGTGTTGGGGCTGATGTTATCTCGTATAATGCACTAATCAACGGATTTTGCAAGGCTTTTAGAGTAAATGAAGCTTTGCGTCTTTATGAAGATATGCAAGCTAGAGCTTTGGATCCAGATGAAATCACCTTCAAATTGATTATTGGAGGCCTCGTACAGGAGAAGAACTTCTCAGTGGCTTGTGCAATTTGGGATCAAATGATGGAGAAGGGTTTTACACTTGACAGAGATTTATCGCAGACTCTAATTAATGCAATCAACTCATAGGTTGCACCGTATAGGAATGGTTTGTATCTCCGAACACCCATCTGGTTATGTCTTTTTGCATGTTTCGGATAGAACACCTATGTGTTGACATCTTTCTTATATGTTTCTGACATTTATTTGCATATTGGGGAGTGCTTATTTGTCAAATATGAGTATTTGTATAATTAATTCTGTATCATCAACATTCTAAATTAAATAGTTGAGATTGCAAAATGTGTCCTGGAAAATAAAAATATTCTGCATCTGCTCCAAACAAACATAATCCGAGGAACTAATGATTGCCTTTTAAATTATTTTGATTTAAAGATGGTTTACTTGGAAGTTGGAATTTCAGGTTGACTTGCTCTGAATCCTTCCCATGGGAAAATTTCTATTGGATTTGCAGCTCTCGGAACTCAGTAGACCTTCTGTTCTTCTCAAGGAAATGCCTAAGTCACCCAAGGTTTGCGTGCTTCTTCTCCGGAAACTTTTTATTGACTAGCAACATTTATCCACTGATATGGATTTGAAAATTAATGATTAAAATCATAAGACAAAAAAGGAAAAATACCATTTTCGTTCTCTCTCCGTCCATCCATCATCCATCTCTCTCTCTCTCTCTCTCTCTCTCTCTCTCTCTCTCTCTCTCTCTCTCTCTCTCTCTCTCTCTCTCTTTCTCTCTCTCTCTCCCCCCCCCTCTTAGACGCACACACATTCCGTTTGGTTGCAGTTAGTTTGAGTATTGAAAATATTTTGTATTAATTGTGCATCAGCAAGAAACTAAAAGTGGAACCTGGAGTTTCACTCTGTTAAAAATGTTGTTGACACGGACCTTGCTCTTTTCGCCTCACAGCTCAAATGAAAAGAAAGCCATGAAATGAGAATATGTTAATATTTTTAATCCCCAGTTGTGTGCGTGTGGGGAAACAGTTGCAATTTGTAAAGAAGTGATGCTTATGAAACAGTAGGTCAAACTATCATTAGGTAATGATCTTAGGACTTAGGAGTTCCAATTCTGACAGTAGAATGATAGAGGCAGTATTTATCAAAAATTGGTTAAAGTTTAGTATAAGTGTATCACTCCAGATTTTAGTCAGAGCCTCTACTGCAGAGGAAAGTTGATTACTGAAGGCACTTTAAGTTGTTTCCTTATTTGTTTTTTTGATCAGTAAATTAGAGGTTTCCTGATGTGAATTGCTTCCCTTGAGCCGATGGTCTATCGGAAACAGCCTCTCTACCTCGCGAGGGAGGGGTAAGGTCTACATACGCATTACCCTCCCCAGACCCCACATTGTGGGAATATACTGGGTATATTGTTGCTGTTTTTGTTGTAAATTAGAGGTTTCATTGATAGTGCATCCAGTTGATGCAAAAATTACATCAGTGAGCAAAACATTGGTCAGCTTCTTTACACTGAATCTCCTATATGCATTCTAAGGAGCTAACAAAGTCGCAAAAACTCATTAAAACTATTTAGAGAATGAAGATTACTCCAACAAAAAAGTTCAAGATGCATCTAGTATTAAGCTGATGGAAAGGGGTTAATACTCCTTCAAAACGTCTATTTCTTATTAATCCATATGCAGCAAAAAATGCATGCTACTATCTGCCAAAGTTCCCAAATTGATTTGTTTACTTTCCAGTTTCCCCAGACCCCACATTGTGANGGAATATACTGGGTATATTGTTGCTGTTTTTGTTGTAAATTAGAGGTTTCATTGATAGTGCATCCAGTTGATGCAAAAATTACATCAGTGAGCAAAACATTGGTCAGCTTCTTTACACTGAATCTCCTATATGCATTCTAAGGAGCTAACAAAGTCGCAAAAACTCATTAAAACTATTTAGAGAATGAAGATTACTCCAACATAAAAGTTCAAGATGCATCTAGTATTAAGCTGATGGAAAGGGGTTAAGACTCCTTCAAAACGTCTATTTCTTATTAATCCCTATGCAGCAAAAAATGCATGCTACAATCTGCCAAAGTTCCCTAATTGATTTGTTTACTTTCTAGTTTCCACTCTCCTCAGCACCTGTATGCATCTCTAACACCGTAAGGCATCACGGTGTTGTCAAAGGCTCATTTAAAGCACGCTTAAGCCTTGAAGCTCAGAGAAGCTCAGGGTAGGCACTTCGCTTCACTTAGGTTGCATTTCAATGTAGGCAAGGCACTACAATGTGTGTCTCATTGCCCATAATTTCTATCTTGAAGATGTGGTACTAAACAATAAATGTGATTTGCAAAAAGATACATTAATTGTTAAGGAAATCATTGCGGATGAATTTTTTCTCTACTACGCATATATTTTTATTTTTTTCTTTTTGAGCCTTTTTTAACTAAAACCCACACTTTGATTGCGCTTTGTGCTTAAAAGCCCCAATAGACCTGGACCGCTTCTTAACACTTTTTGCCTTTGACAACACTGCCATTGCCAAGTGCACCCCAAGAAGGCTGTAGAACATGCTCCATGTCGCTTGCTGTGTGGCACTGTAAAAAAAGATGGCAAATATCCTCAGAGTGTTGGAGACACTTGTAGCATGCTGGTTAGATAGAATCCTCTATTAGCTAGGATTTCATGTAAGGCAACCTCCTGTTAGTGTCACCCAGCTAAAACAGCCTAATTTAGTTGGAATCTTGACTGTGCTCATCCACTCATGCTACTGTAAGGCAATGCAGAGAAGGAAATACCTGGAACCTATCTTTCAGAAGAAACTTCCACGACGAGAGGTTGGGGAGTTAGTGAACCTTTATATTAAACTCGAAGGGTGGCAATGGATCCACTTGCAAAGGATAAACTTATATGGAATCTCAGTGGTAATGGCATGTTTTCCGTGAGTCATGCTACCTTAAGTTAGTGAACAGCAGCATTATAATAGACAAATGGCTCCCAGTGTTTGCTTCATTTAATTGCTTATCCAAGTGTCATGATTTTATTGATCATTATGTGAATATATAGTTGCTAAAATGTATAACAAAACGAAGAAACATCATTATCAATTGACTGTATTGTCTCCGTATTGCTAACATATGTTTTTAGCACAATTATCGCTAAGGAACTACATATAATCTTGCCATTAGAACCTTTAGTATAAGTGTATTCACTTGATCGTTTAATTATGATAATGGCACACAAATCTTCTGCTGATGCCTTAAATCTAGGAACATAAATGGATATGTCTATAGCACCTCAAATGAAAACCATGTGGTGCAACAATTTTGTGGCTTGTACATGCCTCTCTATAGGTTTTTAACCCATATTTTCCCAATCAAGTACGTATCTTGCGGATGATACAGGCCTCGTGTGAGATTGAGCTTGGTGTTATAGGGATTACACCCTTTTTTTGTTATTTGGTTCTGCAGTGATGTTGAAAATGTCTTAAAGTGTGATGGTTGTCATGCTAGTTTTGTTGCTGTATTTGAACTCATCTAAAGCAGTCAATAGTCATATGTTTGTCAATATTCTACTTAGGATGCACTCTGATACATTTTTGGTTTTGATATCGCCAGAATCCAAAGTCTGATCTTCATCTTCTTTGTTAATTCTTGTTATGCGACTTTCAATGGTGTGAATATCCCTCTTTTTGGCTTTTTTCTGAATTAGGTCTCCTTAATGTAATTGGCCACCAATTTTTGTTGAAGGAGGTTGAATTTTCATATACAGGTCACAATGGTAAACAAACTGGCCAAGCTTCTTGGAAAAAAGAGGAAAGTATATAATGGATTCTTTTCACCATGCTAGCAGGAAATACTATTCAAGAGCTTGTGGAGAAGGTAAGCCTGTTATTTGCTTTCAGTTTTTAACTTTTCAGTCCTGAGAAAATATAGCTCTGTTACAGGAAAGTGTGGGTAGGACAATTGTTTAAGACCCGGCGTGTCATCAACTGACATTGGTAGTTTCTAATTGAAAAAGGAGAAGGTAAATCAGGGTAAATTTCACTAGTTCTTCTCTTTAACAGGACTTCAGTATCTCAAATTAATGAAGGAATGAAGATAAAAAATCAACGTGAGTCCCTTTTATTGACTTGAAGTGGTGAATCCTATTAAATAGAGGAATGAGCTTTTGAACTTACGTCATAAAAAATGTTAACTAGAAAACAATTCTTACCGTGAAATTATACCGATTGACTTAGTAGCTCACATGCAGGCTGTTACTTCACTACTGAACAACAACAACTACGCCTCAATCATGACTAAGTTGGCATCAACTATGTGAATCTTCGCTATTGAGATCTTTTAAAACCTTTCTTTGTTGAATTCAGTAAAAAAGTCAAACTATTTTCTCATTGGTTTCGTAAATTTCCATCTATAATTCAAAACTGAAGTCCCTTCCCTTTTAAAGCTTCCATTTCCATATTCTATTTAACATCTGATTACCCTTACTCTTCTTAGTAGTCTTGCTTCTCTCATATTCAAACTAGTAAAGATAACCATGATCATTTAGCTGCGATCCTTCAAAAAAGGGTTGCTTGGTTAAATTGATTGTTAAGTGGAAATAAAAGTTTTTTTGATCGGGTAAAGGTAGATTTCATTTGCCTCCCGACATAGGTTCAAGTGCCAAGACTAAGGAACTAGAATCATAGGTTCGAGCCTTGTGCTGTGCGAACTAAGTCTGGTATTTAAGTGAAGAAGGGTAGAGGCGCGGGCCCATTACCCTCGAGTTTCAAAGGCTGCAGCTGATCCTAAGGGTTGGCCCAGATGGATTTCTTGGTCATATAAAAAGAAAGTAAAGGTAGATTTCATTCGTTCAGAGTCCAGAAGATGCACAATAATTACTGTTAGTTTACAGATATGTACATAATGTAGTCTTGTCCCACATTGGAATAGGAGTAATATGTCCTTAGTATAACTATAAATAAGGACCTCTTGTATTGTATTGAGTATCTTATATCAATAATATATTTTCTCCCGTGCTTTCTAACATGGTATCAGAGCAATCGTGAGAGATTTATTGCTGTGCATAAATTCCAGCGACCCCGAGAAGAGAAATTAGTCAACCGGAAGTCTTTTTTCCAGCAAACACAGGTCTGTTGCAGTAAAAAAAAAAGTTATTTTTCGTCAGTGTTGTGCAAAAACCAACACCACCACGAAGTAGATCGGCCTCCGGCGACCAACCCATAAAAATATCTCCGTCAGAAGACCCTCCACGCGCTCCCACGCGCCGCCGGAAGAAATTTTTCCGGCGAAGTTCCGACGTCACGCGCCGGCGCGTGGGGCCCTTTCCGGTCATTTTTTTGAAAAGTTTCTTTGGGACAAATTGTTCGCAAGGGAATTCCGAGCCTACCCATCCAGGTTATACACCAAATTCCGACCACTTTTATATTTTTTCGGCGTGAACAATGTTTTTTTCTTGTAGCTACAGTAAGATTCCGACGACTACAATATTTCCTTACTCTGTTTCAGTGGATTACAATTGATTCTTTCTTTTACTTGGTAATAATTTGCAACGATGTCTTTGGGATTTGATGTTTTTGAGTCTAGAAACATGAGTTCTGGAAGCTCTAGTGTTATGATTACCTCGGAACCTTTAATGGGGAGTTCAAACTACTTAGCTTGGGCTTCATCTGTCGAGTTGTGGTATAAAGGTCAAGGTGTTCATGATCATCTAATCAAACAGTCTAGCGAAGGAGATGAAAATGCGATAGCACTTTGGGCAAAGATCGATGCTAAGTTATATAGCATCTTGTGGCAATCTATTGATTCCAAGTTGATGCCCTTGTTTCGTCCATTCTAGACATGTTATTTGGTTTGGGCAAAGGCTCGTACCTTATACACTAATGACATATCTCGTTTCTATGATGTGATATCGCGGATGACAAACTTAAAGAAGCAGGAATTAGATGTCATACTTGGGTCAAGTACACGCAGTCACAGAGGAATTTGAGAAGTTGATGCCAGTTTCTGCTAGTGTTGAAAAACAACAAGAGCAGCGACAGAAGATGTTTCTAGTTCTTACCCTCGCTGGACTTCCTAATGATCTTGATTCAGTACACGACCAGATTTTGGCTAGTCCGACTGTCCCCACAGTTGATGAATTATTCTTTCGATTACTCCGCCTTGCTGCAGCATCAAGTCACCCAGTGATCTCATCACAGATACTTGATTCCTCTGTTCTCGTATCCCAGACAGTGGATGTTCGGGCGTCTCAAACTATGGAGAATAGACGAGGAGGAGGTCGTTTTGGAAGATCTAGACCCAAATGTTCTTATTGTCACAAACTTGGACACACTCGTGAAATGTGCTATTCCTTACATGGTCGTCCACCCAAAAAAGCTTACATTGCTCAGATCAAGACTACAGGTAACCAGGGATTTTCTTTATCTAAAGAAGAATATAATGAGCTCCTTCAGTATCGAGCAAGTAAGCAGACATCTCCACAAGTAGCCTCGGTTGCTCAGACTGATGCTTCTGTTGTTGGTAATTTTTTTGCTTGTGTTTTCCAGTCTAGTACTCTTGGACCATGGACTCGGGCGCTTCTGATCACATCTCTGGTAATATATACTTTTGTCGAATATTGTATATTCACAGTCTCTTCCCACTGTTACTTTAGCCAATGGATGTCAAACTAAGGCAAAAGGAGTTGGACAAGCTAATCCCTTGTCTTCTATCACCCTAGATTCCGTTCTTTATGTCCCTGGCTGTCCTTTTAGTCTTGCATCTGTTAGTCGTTTGACTCGTGCCCTCCATTGTGGTATATATTTTATTGACGATTCTTTTATTATGCAGGACCGCAGTACGGGACAGACAATTGGTACAGGACGTGAATCAGAAGGCCTTTACTACCTTAACTCACTCAGTCCTTCCACAACATGTCTAGTTACAGATCCTCCAGATCTAATCCACAGACGTTTAGGACATCCGAGTTTATCCAAACTTCAGAAGATGGTGCCTAGTTTATCTAGTTTGTCTACATTAGATTGTGAGTCGTGTCAACTTGGGAAACATACCCGAGCCTCCTTTTCGCGTAGTGTTGAGAGTCATGCAGAGTCTGTTTTCTCCTTAGTTCATTCTGATATATGGGGTCCTAGTAGAGTCAGTTCAACCTTGAGATTTCGTGATTTTATTAGTTTTATTGATGATTATTCAAGATGTATTCGGCTTTTCTTAATGAAAGATCGCTCTGAGTTATTTGCTATATTCCAGAGTTTCTGTGCCGAAATCAAAAACCCATTTGGTGTTTCTATTCGCATTTTTCGTAGTGATAATGCCTTAGACTATTTATCTTCTCAGTTTCAGCAATTTATGACTTCTCAAGGAATTATTCATCATACATCTTGTCCTTATACCCCTCAGCAAAATGGGGTTGCAAAGAGAAAGAATAGACACCTTATTGAGACTGCTCGCACACTTCTAATTGAATCTCGTGTTCCGTTGCGTTTTTGGGGAGATGCAGTTCTCACAACTTGTTATTTGATTAATCAGATGCCTTCATCTCCCATCAAGGATTAGATTCCGCATTCAGTATTGTTTCCCCAGTCACCGTTATACTCTCTTCCACCTCGTATTTTTGGGAGCATGTGTTTTGTTCATAACTTAATCCCTGGGAAAGATAAGTTAGCTCCTCGTGCTCTCAAGTGTGTCTTCCTTGGTTATTCTCGTGTTCAGAAGGGATATCGTTGTTATTCCCCTGATCTTCGTAGGTACCTTATGTCAGTTGACGTTACATTTTTTGAGTCTAAACCTTTCTTTACCTCTGCTGACCATCATGATATACCTTTGAGGAGTTTACTATAGCTCCTCCTCCACCTTCGACCACAGAAGTTTCACCCACACCAACCGTTGAGGAGTCTAGTGTTGTTCCTCCTAGATCCCCAGCCACAGGAACACCACTCTTGACTTACATCGTCGTCCGCGCCCTGCATCAGGCCCAACTGGTTCTCGTCCTGCACCTGACCCTGCTGCTACTGCGGACTTGTGTCTTCCCAGTACACCGATTGCACTTCGGAAAGGTATACGGACCACACTTAATCCTAATCCCCATTATGTCGGTTTAAGTTATCATCGTCTGTCATCTCCCTATTATGCTTTTATATCTTCTTTGTCCTCAGTTTCCATCCCTAAGTCTACAGGTGAAGCATTGTCTCATCCAGGATGACGACAGGCTATGAGTGACGAGATGCCTGCTTTACATACAAGTGGTACTTGGGAGCTTGTTCCTCTTCCTTCAGGTAAATCTACTGTTGGTTGTCGTTGGGTTTATGTAGTCAAAGTTGGTCCCGATGGCCAGGTTGATCAACTTAAGGCTCGTCTTGATGCCAAAGGATATACTCAGATATTTGGGCTCGATTACAGTGATACCTCCTCTCCGGTGGCTAAAGTAGCATCAGTCCGCCTTTTTCTATCCATGGCTGCGGTTCGTCATTGACCTCTCTATCAGCTGGACATTAAGAATGCCTTTCTTCAAGGTGATCTTGAGGATGAGGTTTATATGGAGCAACCACCTGGTTTTGTTGCTCAGAGGAAGTCTCATGACTTTGTATGTCGCTTGCGTCGGTCACTTTATGGTCTAAAACAGTCTCCTCAAGCCTGGTTTAGTAAGTTCAACATGGTTATCCAGGAGTTTGGCATGACTCGTAGTGAAGCTGATCTCTCTGTGTTTTATTGGCACTCTGCTTCAAGTCTCTGTATTTATCTGGTAGTCTATGTTGATGATATTGTTGTTACTGGCAATGATCAGGATGGTATTACCAATCTGAAGCAGCATCTCTTCCAACACTTCCAAACTAATCTAGGCAAATTGAAGTACTTTCTAGGTATTGAGGTTGCTCAGTCTAGCTCAGGTATTGTTCTTTCTCAAAGAAAATATGCTTTAGAGATTCTTGAGGAGACATGGATGATAGGTTGCAGACCTGTTGACACTCTGATGGATCCGAATTCTAAACTTCTGCCAGGACAGGGGGAGCGATCCTGCAAGCTATA